CCCCAAAACCCCAAAACCCCAAAACCCCAAAACCCCAAAACCCCATTCTTATATTATTTAATTGAATTTTTTATGAGAAGTAACTCTCAGATTTTACTGAAAGTCATTGCTATTTTAATGCTTGTCTGGCAGACTCAGGCAACTCTTCTTAATTTTGAAGAAACTAGGCACAATTTTGTGAGGGAGATACAGAAGAGTCATAATGGCAGATGAATGAAAGATGTGATTACTCAACTATTTTCTAGTGTAAGCTTAGAGTCTGATGAATTATAGGAATCAAATTCAATTCATACTATCTCTCAAGGACTCAACATTGATGAAAATACCAAGGCAAAAGTAAATTTTATTCTTATCAACCTAGATTGCTATCGAATTGACAAATTGACACTTCAGAAGATCAGAGAGGCCAGAAGTTCAATGTGAAAAAGAGATGGAAATCAGGGAGTGAACACAAAACCTCATCCGAATTGATACAAAAGGAGATTATTGGTCATCATATACTCTCTTCTACACACATATTGATAACCTTTATTTTTACTATAAAAGTGAAAGTAATATTTCCTTTGACCATATAGATTGGCAGCAGAACACTGAGAACCTGATTGACTCTTTATATGAAGCTTCTGAACAACTGAAATTTGAGATCCAGTCACAAAGGTTTGATGCTCAAACCTTTATTTTCTACTCAATAATGGTTATTTTAGGCTTTCTCTGAGGTTTTTCAAAGTAAGGGTTCTATGATACTTCTAGACAAACAGAACAGGCGAGGATTCGAATTCTTTTCACTGCATTGCTGACTTTCTGTGCGGACTTCTTCATTCTCAGTAATTCTCAAGAAATTGACAAAATAAATAAATCAATAATCTCAAATTCCCAATCTCCTCTAGTGGCTATTACCAGAGTCTGTTCAGCCTGCATCTCTGTATTTTGAGTCCTGAATTCTATCAGATGTAAGCTAAATGTGACATTTTAGGCTACCGAGATTACTCCAGAATCAATTTTAAGCAACTAGAGGACATTAACCACTCACTAAATTCTGTGAAGAGGAGGTCTTGCAAGCTAGAAAAGATGGTAGGTGAGAAGCAAGAGAGCTTATCAACGCCCAAATGGGTAGTCAAGTATAAAAATATCTTCATGAATGCTGTATCTAATTATCAACAACAGAGTAATGTAAAATCTCAGTTAAGAATCAAGAAATATATTGGTAAAGGTAGTAAGCCGTTATCCATTGCGTACCAGACTCCTTTGCCCAAGAAGCTCAAAGGTCTCAAACCCAGGAGTCTTTATCCTATTAGAGAGGAGAATTCACCGGCTCAGTCACAATACATGACTCAGAAAAGATCAACTAGGCAATTTGGTGTTCTTTAATTACTCTGTAAACAATTCAGTCCAAATTAATTTCTAAGGGGTTTTGGGGTTTTGGGGTTTTGGGGTTTTGGGG